AGCACTTTGATTTCTTAATCAGAACAGGTTGTTTATTATAAAAAAAAACAAAACAGTAAAATTAATAAAAACTGATTCAAAATGACTTTTGTATTTACAGTTAAAATTTAGACAGTTCGTTCAAAATTTATAATAGGATTTATATTACCCTGACAAACTGAAAGTCTACAAACAAAAAATTGTATGAAAGATTCAACGGTGATTTATTGATTAAAAATCACTAAATAAAGTAATATTTTTAAGATTTATGATTGTTATTAAATATTTTTAAATTTCACTTGAACTATTTCTACAACCATTTGATTTTATCACTGATTAAGTAAAGAAAAAGTTAAAGCTCCAATCAATGAAACTTTTAGACTATTTTGTTATTTCACTACATTATCATGCTTGCAGCAATTTATAAGATAAGTTTATTCTTATTTTGCATTTTAAATCCCATCAAAAAACCGTATAACCTATAGCAGTATAGTTTACCCAGTGCAATCAATATAGCATAAACACATAACTAGATCACCAAAAAAAATGACGCAAAAAAACTTTAAATCAATGGTGCACATGCATTTTTGGAGAAATAATTTTCAAAATGTGTCAAAATATAGAAAATAAGGCGTTAAACTAAAAAAATGTAAAATATAGCCATAATTCATTTTTTTTTTAAATAAATGCAAGTGTTCCAATTAAGGCGCTGGTCCAATTATAGCAACTCCCCCTACTTTTCAATTTTTTAAAAAGCGCTGCCTCAAGGCGTTGTGGCGTGCGCTTTTTTATACCTTGACTATAGTCAAGGCTTATAAAACCTAGCAAAAAGCACACTTATTTAAACTTTGGTACTTTAATAACTATTACCTAGTTTTTTGTTTACTCTCTTAAAGTTTTATCTAATTCATAGCATGTTTGCATTGTTTATACCTAATTAAACTTTCGATTATGTATTTCATTCATTGTTTTTCTTTTGTTTATTCAACGGTTGTGATTTTCATAAATATTTTTATACAGAGCCGCTGCAAACTTGCTCGGGGCCCTGGAGTTGTGAGGCTACAAAATATAAATGTAATTAATCTATAAATGTAAATGTAATCAATCACATTCAAAATATGATTGTACTGACTTCTTTGATATATAGCAAGTATTTAAGGATGAGTAAGAATAGATTGTCTCGTTGTTGGAACAGCCCTTCTCTTCTAATTTGTCAGATGAAGTTCTGTCGTTTCTATTTTGATTGCTTTGATCAGACTTATCTTTGCCAAAACAACCCTAATTAATGGTACATTCCATTGAATTTTACAACAATAAATTATTAGGTTGATAAAAGTCTTTAAATACGTAAAATGTATTTAATAAATTCGGTACGAGGTTGAGCATTCCCACTTTGAATGTTATGCTGGCTCTTCTTAAGGTTCAAATATCTCTCAATATATTTTAATATATATATATATATATATATATATATATATATATATATATATATATATATATATATATATATATATATATATATATAAATATATATATATATATATATATATATATATATATATATATATATATATATATATATATATATATATGTATGTATATATTTTGTGCATAGAATGCATTCTTGGTGGTTTATGGTTTCTATGGCTAAAATCAGGTTTTCCAATGATTGGACCAATAATTTGGAAACTGATCTTAATCATGAAAACCACGATCTACTAAGAATGCATTCCTTGCCCATTTGGAGGCCCATTTGCAAATTTAGGGTCCTTTTTGCAAATGTAAGTAACCCTTTTTTTTAGTAATACTTGATAATATAAATTTTTAAGATTTTGGGGTCCATATGACAGATGTATTTTTTTTTTTTTTTTTTGAGTATAATCTTTTTCAGACAGTACTAAAAAACAGGTTAATTTTTTTACTTCAAAAAAAATTAACAACAAATCTAAACAAACAAAAAATGTAAATTTGCGTTTTTAGAACATTTTTAAATGAATTAAGTTTTGTTGAACCAAAATTTCAGTATTAGTTTTGTTAAAACGTTTGCCCATAAGTTGGTTTTAGTATCAAACTAATTTTGGATTGTTTTGATTTCTGCGTTTTTCTTGTTTCGGTCGATCACTACTCGTTGTAATTAAGGCAATTTTAAAATATTATAGCGTCTTTATGAAATTTTGTTGACTACGACATATTTGCGTTAAATAAAATCACTTTCAAAATGCGTAAGATAAATTTTTTTACTACAGAGCGTTGTAATAATAAAAATAAAAAATATAGCAAAAAAATTTGCTAAAAACTATAATCTTTTTTGAACTAAAAAGTAAAAAATAAACTTTTTGATTAAAATTTAATAGTTAAGTAAACTAAAGATTGACAGGTATGTTTCTAAATAAATCTTGTGCAGACCTCAGGGGCGGATCCAGCATTTTTTGGTGTTTGAGATAGCTAACTACCAGACATGGAGCAAACTTTAAACATTTATATTTTTATACTTATATCAAATAAGAATGGTTTGCAAAAAATTGCGATGATTGGAGCCTAGGAACAAAAAAGCCCTAAAATTTGAGACGTACCTGCCCCAAACGTGAGAGCAACAAGTTGATAAAACATTTTTTGTACTATTCTCAACAAGACTTATATTTATCAATAAATTTTAAATTTTATAGTAAAATATTTTAGCGCTCAAAAATTATGACCATATAAAAATTGTGACCCCCTCGAATTGAGGGGTATTCAAACTTTACATAGTCATAATTTTTGAACGCTGAAATATTTTACAATGAAATTTAAAATTTATGGATAAATATAAGTCTTGTTGAGAATAGTACAAAAAATATTTTATGAACTTGTTGCTCTCACGTTTGGGGCAGGTACGTCTCAAATTTTAGGGCTTTTTTGTTCCCAGGCTCCAATCGTCGCAATTTTTTGCAAACCATTCTTATTTGATATAAGTATAAACATATAAATGTTTGGAGTTTGATCCATGTCTGGAAGTTAGCTATCTCAAATACCAAAAAATGCTGGATCCGCCCCTGGACCTGTCAATCTTTAGTTTACTGAGCTATTAAATTTTAATCAAAAAGTTTATTTTTTACTTTTTAGTTCAAAAAAGATTATAGTTTTTAGCAAATTTTTTTGCTATATTTTTTATTTTCTACTTTTTAGTCTTAACAAATTTTTCATATGAAATACAAAACTAAAAAAAATTATTAAAAAATTAAAAAACTAAAATACAAACCTACAAGCAATCTTGCCGATCTAAAAAAAAATTTATTATTAAAAAAATTTTTTTTATTAAATAAATAAACCCGCAAGCAATTTAGTGACTAACTTTTACTAAAAAGAAAAGTTGCGAGTGGGTTGAAGGACAACAAAGTTACTTGAGGAAGAGTTCATATCAAGTGAAAGAAAAGATTATAAAAATAAGTTTCAAGTAAAATTTCTATGAAATTTTCAAAAACAAATAAACAATAATAATCGATAACAATAAATCTTTAATACAGAGTTAAAAATACCGCACTGTTCTTTAACTGCGTAAATAAGTTCTATATAAAATTAATACTAGTTTCTATATAAGAAATTAGTTTTATTTTTTATAGCACTTATTTACGTGTGATGCAATTCTCTGTATCACCTACAAAATAATGGTTTCAAGATTTTGCATAGTCTAAAAACATTTAATAACTGGCTTTACTGCACACCTGGAATTTCCACATCTCTGACTCACATCAAGTTCAAGGTAAAAGTTATTTAATCTAATATGAATTCTGTACAGTGGCATCAAGCACTTAAGTATAAGCCCACACCTCTCAATTTCGCTTATAGTGGTCCCTGTATTTTATTAAAATTATTTGTGTACAAAAAAAAATTAGATTATACAGTTATATCTTCATACATATCCTCTGTATGAATTAATCTTATTTAATCAATGAAATTTCTAATTTTGGTTCCATTTTCTTCATCATTTTGGTGCTGGACTATCCATTCTAACAGCTTTTGACTGTCAACCAGTTTTGACCTTTCTTTGCATAGGTTTTGTTATGCGTCTTTGATTTTGTTTTGTTAAGGGTTTGTCTGATTGGTATATTTAATGAAAAATAAATTACAGTAAAGTTCATCAAAAGTATCTCTTCCTTTCAATGAATAAAAAATCTTCCATAAAATATAGATCACAAAATAAAAATAGCTCTTCGAAAATTTAGGAGCAGAGTCATAAATTTTTGAAGAGCTATTTTTTATTTATTATATCTCAAGCCTCAAAAAACATAACTGTAATGTTATTTAATGCTAACAGATTATTGTATAAAATTTATCGATGAATACAAGTTTACTTAAGAATAGTAAAAAAAATAAATATATTCTATCAACTTGGTGCTCTCATGTTTGGGGTAGTTGCACAATAATATGTATATACTCCATCAGAGTATATAAGCAGCCAAAGTAACAGTTGTCATAGTATTGAAACCTTTTTAAATAAATGCAACTATTTCTGCTTTTAAAATGACATTTTAATGTCTAGTTTAAATGAGAAATGATATCAACGCAAATTTAAATTTTAAAAAGTTAAAATTTTAACTGTTTTCTTTGCATATCATAAGTTAGTTACTTGAAAATTCATAAATTAGTAGAATTGTTTGAATTTGATAATTTCTTCCCCTTTAAAGTGCTATATGGAAGTTTTTTAATAATTCATTGTATTCTGCTAATCCATTTTGAAAATTTGTCTTATTCTTAACAAAACTATCAGAAATAAAGATAACCAAAATGTTATGTATAAAAATAGTATATAATATAGAATGAAAATGTTTATATAATAACTAGGAGATTTTTTTACAAGATTGTGTAAAACTTTTTTTGAATTTTTTTTTGAAAAACTTTTAAAAAAATTTTTCCTAATTTTTTTATAAATTTCTTAATTGAACTAAAGGGTTTTGAATCTAAAAAAATAAATATACTTTTTATTGTATACACATTTTTTTAGTACACACGTTATTTAAACTCATAATGCCTTTTATTTTTAGATATGCTTCAAAGCCTTTATTTGGATAATATGCTGTATATCACTTACTAATGCATTACTGAATGATACTATCACTGACAATGCCACAATGGTATGCCCACCAATTCTTGATAAAGCTGTAAAAGGTAAATGGTTTAAAAAATTAATAATAAACAAATATTCTATAGTTATTTAAGTTATCAATGTGTTCTTACAAAATATTTATGAGCAAGGATCAAGGTATTTTATAAAATCAAATTTGATTTTTTTTTTTGTGATTAAAAAATTTTGTTGCTTTGAAAGAAACTTTTTTTTTATATAGCTTATTATAACACAATAACTTGAATGAAATTTAAATTAAAAAAATAATTAGTATCACTGCAGTGTTTCCTGGCTATAGGGAACTAAATAAGTAGATATTATTATGTTGTCAAAATTATTTAAAAAAATAAAATTATCTAGGTTATTTTAATTTTTTTACTTTTTTAGCATATTGAGAAAAATTTTTAGAAATGGCACTCATAAAAAAGCAGTGAAATACCAAGAAGCAAAAATAACAATCAAATTTGATGTATTTTTTACTAAAGTGGAATACAAAAAAGTTGCTACATCTTCAGATAAGAAAGAAGCATTTTTTGAAAGTCAAATTGAATTGTCTTCATCAAAATTAGAAGTAACATTGAATTCAACTGAAAATGTCAATGTTTTTGAAATAGAAAAAGACTTGCAATTAAATAAGATAACCAACCCCATATCCTTAAATAGTAATTTGCATCTCTTTCTCTTTTCTACAAATACTACCATCGTTGCTGCTTAAAGGAACTATCATCTCTAGTTTCATCAACTAAAACTTATTCTTGCTTGACTAACCATTCATTAAAGTCTCATTCTTTTACTATATCTGTCCCTGCATGCTCAAAAAACTTTTATTCATCTAGTTTTTTTCCCAACACTTCAATTCTTTGGAACTCTCTCTCATCTTTATATTTTCCTGAGTCATACAACCTTCATTTTTTTAAGTCTTCTGTCAACCCTTGCCTTGCTCTACAACTCTATAACTCTATTCTTTTTTTCTAGTAACTCCCAATTTAATAGTGGTTCTTACAGCTTTGTTGGGAGTAAATCAGAATTAAAAAAAAAATACTATAGGTAATAATATTGGATTATGGAATTGTCTATCTATAGAAAATATTTTATTTTAGATGGAACATGAACCAGAAAATGTTCAACACTTAAATGACAATTTTCAAGTATTACAATGAACATGATAAACTCTGCTGTAAATTATTTTTTATTCGTTCAAACAAGTAGTAGTTATCTGTACATTAGTTAATAAAAATCTTGCATTTAGAGGTTTGAAAGAATCTTTTAAAAAGAACATATTAACAAATTATGGTCATATTGGTTCTTGAAAAAGTTCATATTTCTCCAAAATAGCAATGAGCTCATTTTGCTGATGATGAATAGTTTCTAGAAGAGTTTGTAGTAGGTGTGAAAAATTAAAATGTTTTGGAATTTCTGTTGATCCCACCCCTAATATATAATACACAGATCAACTTCTTCTAATGTATAATACACAGATCCCAATGTATAATACACAGTACCCAATGTATAATACACCGATCAACTTTCTTGTAAGATATTGATATGATGGAACCTATGAAAAGATTTTTACATTTTATCAATATTGAGGATCACACTGGCACAAATTTAGCAGGCAAGACAGTTGGTTTTTTAGTTGGATTAAAATTTATAGGACGCAGATCTTAATTGTAAAACAAAGTTTCCATCACGAATGTGCACATTTGTAATTCTCTGTTTTTTTCACATCATGTGCACATTTGTAATTGTTTCTAAGATTACTGTAAAGTATAATAAAATGAGATCAATATTCCATGTTGTTTTTTAAGCATGTCTTTGTTTCTGTCAAAATGCAAAGAAAAATATAGCTATGAAAAAACCTTTAATTGATTTGAACTTTAAACTTTTAGTATGCAACTTAACAGCTTATTGGGCTGTACAGGTGTAGATGATATTAAGACATAATTTTGTTTAATTAATCTGCAATTTAAAAAAGAACACTAATTTTGTCACAAGATATTTGGAAAATCCTTAGTCTCATTTTTAAGTATTGACATGGAGTGTTATCTAAAGCATTGCAAAAAGATACTGCCGCTCAAATTAATTTTCTAGAATAGCAGCTGTGTTGGATTGGCTAAAGCACAATTGTTTAGCTTTTACTGAATCAGGCTTGGACAGGAATGGCGTGCAATCGTACGGTATAACTGACCACGCTTATAATTTTTTTTCTATACAACTTGACCATGGCAGTTTTAATGTTTAAACAAACAAAATACTATAAAAAATTCTTACTTAAAAAAAAACTTTTAATCTTTGATCTTTTCTAAAGTTTTTATTATACATGAAGGTTTTGAATAAGATAAAAAATTAATTGTTTCATAAAATATGTTTTAAAGGATTTTGAACGCAATTCGTAACAAAAAATAATTTACTATTTGAGT